TTTTTTTTTTTTTGGGTACTTGGGGCTATTTCTTACAGAGAAATTCTTATGGTCATGTAACATATTTATGTTTTGCAAGCTGATTTTGCTGGGGTATGATGAAACAGATCCCCAGTGCTCGAAAACAAGCTTCACTTCCAATACCTGCTACAATTCTGTCCCGTGTGAGAGAACTTGCTGATACACCACATGTCACACCCATCCTCAGCTCTGCTGATACACCACATGTCACACCCATCCTCAGCTCGGGCAGTTGACGTGGATCTCTTGTTTTCAATAATGCTATGCACAAAAGGAGTTACGGTTTTTGTAAAACTTTGAATGTACATAAAGTTTTTTTTTTTTGGAATGTGACTAATGAAACTTTGATGGGGATGCAAAGGAAAAAGACTAACTACTACATTGCCGATGTTACGTTGCAATGTTGTTAAACGAGTTTACTTTTTGTTCGTGTTGATATATGTTTTGCTGTCTGGTTATAGTTTGATAAACGAGATTACTATTTGTTCGTGTTGATACTTGTGTTGTTGTTTGTTTATAGACAGACGCTTAGACATGGTGGCGGCATGTCTGTAGTCTTCCACTCCTCTTTATACATCAACATCAACATACTCAGTATATTCCCAATTAGTTAGGGTTTGGGGGGTAGTTGTACGCAGACCTTACCTTTGTAATTATACAAGGAGGTTGTTTCTGTAGCGACCCAAGATGCATTGCGTCGTTTGATATTTTTTTTCTAGAAACTTCGCTAATAGAATAAGCACTAGAATTTAATTGAGTCGTTTTGATCTAGTCCATTATTAGCACTATGTCAGAAGAATTGTCAACAATGATTCTTCCAACTCCATTTGCAATGGACAATCTTCCACTCCTCTTTATATGGATAAAACAAATATGATGGCTCGAACTCTGAATATTATTCAATCATCAGTCTTAATTTAATTTATAGACTTCTCTATTGTGAGAGGTGTAGCAGTGGTAGCCTGAACTTAAATCGTGGTAGAATCAAAGCTAAAATGTCCAACCCTAATGAATCAAATGTGTAAATCGTGGTAGAATCAAAGCTAAAATGTCCAACCCTAATGAATCAAATGTGGTGGAGGTAACCTGCCCAAAGTGGTCCCAAGGGTCTAAATGAGAGTATGTGCGTGTAATTGTAGAGGTTTGGGGGGACCTTCTACGATTTCCCAATTGCGAGAAGCTCTCAGAGCTCACCTCCCAGACTTGTTTTTGTCTGAAGTTAAAAAGAAATATAAATTTGTAGTGTCAGTTTGCAAAAAGTTGAAGTTTGAAGATAGGTGCCTGTACTGCCATCCATCTAGGTCTAAAGGTGGTTTGTTTCTTTATTGGTCTAATAATGTCAGTATTTTGGATTATTTTTGTCTTGATTTTTGTATTGGTGTCAAATTTCAAAAGATAGGATCTGATTTTTCCCAGTGGGGGTTTTTATGTATGCTAGTACTGATTTTGATCTTAGGTTAGTCCAATGGGACATTTTGCTTAGTATGAAAGATCAATGGGGTTTGTGTGGTAGTTCTTTGAGTTGCGACGGGTGGGGGCTTGTGTGGAAGGTCGTGGGTCTGGGGTCTCTCTTGGAGGCTTGTTGGTAGTGGGCTTAGGTTGGGTTTGGAAGGTCGTGGGTCTGGGGTCTCTCCTGGAGGCTTGTTGGTAGTGGGCTTAGGTTGGGTTTGGGTCTTGGGCTGGTGTGGTTTAGCCGCCGTAGGTTGGAGTGTTCCACTTTAGGCCGTGGATCGGAGCTTTCCTGTTGTGGTTCACTATCGGGGTGTCTTCTTGAGCCTTTGATGACGGATCGTGTGTTGCGTTCCCTCGACTTGTCTCGATCACGGCTTCGCCACGGCCTTGCTCTCGACGATAGGTGTGATCGACTCGGTTATTAGCCTAACTCTCTCACGATACTTGAGTTCACTCGGTAATTAGCCTAGCTCACTCTTTTGAAATAGATCGGGTCTTAGCCTCTCTAACTCGGTTGAACTGGCTTGGGTCTTAGCCTCACCAATTCGGTTGCATGATCGAACTTTCACGAATCCTAACACACGGTTTCGAACAAACGTTCTTTTCTATTCAACTCATCAATTCTGGACCATCTTCTCGCGTACCTTTGCGCACCTCCATGCGCGACTTCGCATACGAGCTCGTACCCGTCTCTTAGGCCATGCATGCGTTGTTTTGGCTCTTTTCCCGGCCTCATTGGGTTGTCTCGGCTCTTGGCCCTTCTTGTCGTCGGGGCTCGAATCCCACTTCCGTATCATTCCCGCCCCCCTTTGAGAATGTCCTTGCCCTCAAGGACTCATCCTCGACCATCCAAACCTCGTGCACATCATCTCCAATCTCACGACCCTTGCGCGTATCGCACTCACGGTCCTCGACAACTTCGACCAAGATCTTACTCTCGCCATCGACCTCCTCTTCACGCGCATCGTCCTCCTTGTGCGCTATGTCATCGTGGACCTCCTCCAAATACTCTTGCTCCCAAGGAGTTAATTCCCTCTCCAAACCTTCGAGATATTCAAGATCCTCGAGATCCATCTCGTCCAATGGCTCAAACATCAACATGACTCTCTTCATATTTTTTTTTTATGACTCTATAAAAAAATTCGAACAAAAGTCAAACCAAACAAAAGAAATTCGGCCCCTCAACGAAAGGTAATAACCGAACAAAAATCAACAAAGAACTAGATGACACTTTTTTTTTTGATACTCATCCAAGACTTCAAAAACAATGAGGGGAGACCCCTATTTATAGATCCTAACTATGACTAATTCTAATCTACCTAGGAAACATATTAAAGCAATAAAATATTAAATTCCTAACATCTTCTAAAGCAATAAGGAAAGTAAATATCTAAGGGATCTTGTGCCTTGTCTTGCACTCCAAGTAGGGACGAAAGATCTAGAGAAGATTCAGCTCCAAAAGGACTCCTACAAGTCTTATTTCTTGCTTGGCAAGTCAGCTCCGCACTGCTACCCGCTGGCTGCCTGCTCCCGCGCCCGCGCTAGTGATGGCAATGGGGAATTCCCCATCGGGTATTGACTCCCCATACCCATCCCCGCGAGAGAATTTTCTTCCCATGGGGATCCCCATTTATGCTTTCGGGGATGATTTTCTCCCCATCCCCATTACCCGCGGGGATAAATCCCCATCGGGGATCCCCATACCCGCTAATTGTTATTGATAT